AACTCTGCATCCATTCTAAACTCTTGTTTAAACTAACTCGCCTTCTAAATTTTCAATTATCGTAACTTTGGTTTTTTCTTGGAAACCACTTGGAATGGACTTACCTAATTACTATATGAGCTTGGGTAAATTATATTTGTATCAAGAAGTTTCTGGATTTCCTTTTTCACCACTTTCATCATAGATTGATTTTATCGGTGTTGTCCTTCCCTTGACGGGCTTGTTCATTCTTCAATCTTGATTTTGTGCATGCAAGTTTAGGGGATAAGTCTCTTGATATTGACAATAGTCCAACCGATTGCTCTTTTATGTGCTCGTAACACTATTACCAAGTCATCATCTTCTTCTTTCGATAACTTACTTGAGATAATAACCGAAAAAAGTTTTATTTTCACCTAAAAATGCATACTTCAAGTGCTTCAGTAATTCTTTCAAATCGACTTGAGGTGTCTGTATAACAGAAGGTGACAACTTAAATTTTGAAGGAATAAAACATTAATTTGAATTAACTAAAAAGATTTCTTCAAACTCCCTGGTTTCATAGTCAAGTTCTTCTAATTCCCTGCACAGATTATCGACAAAGTTATGTTCTATAAATTATTCAATGACATGGTCAATGACATCTACAAAGTTTATACTAGTAGCATTAGCAGAATAACGCATTGTTTTGTATACATCAAATTTTACGATCTTACCGTTGAACTCCATTGAAGAATTCCACTTCTTACATCGATTTTCGTATTTACTATGCTAAGGAAGGGACGACCCAAAAGTATCTCGGAACAAGTATTATTTTCGGTCGTTTCCCATGTCAATGGCATAGAAATCCACTGGAAATATAAGCTTATTTATCTTAACTAAGACTTCTTCCAAGAGTCCTTCGGGAAAAATTATCGATCTGCCAGCTGTATTGTTATTCTTGTATCCTTCAAATTCTCATTAGAAAGTAAGTTGAACATAGATAAAGGGATTATATTTATAGAAGCTCCTAAATCACACATTGCACATTTAATTCCAACTTTACCAATTTTGCAAGGTATAGAAAACATGCCTTGATCTTTTAGCTTTGGTGGAAGCTTTCATTGGAAAACATCCGAAACATGCTCTCCCAAATTCACCTTTTCTGTTCCGGTAAGCTTTCTTTTCGTGGAACAGAGGTCTTTAAGAAATCTAACATGCCTTGGTATTTTTCAGATTACGTCAAGGAGGGGTATGTTGATTTCAACCTTTCAGAACACCTCTAGAAGTTCCTTCTCTTCAGCTTGTTTGTCTCTTTTTACTAACCTGGAAGGCAAATGTGGCGGAGTTTTATAGGGAGATGGTGTCGGATCAGGCTTTGAAACTTTTTTCTTCTTTCTCTAGGGATTTGCGTAAATTCTCTTTTCGTTAAGAGGGTCTGTGCCAATTGGTTCTTCTTCTATATGAGGTGTCGAATTTTTTTCATTCCTTTTTGGATTTTTGCCAACATTCTTTGGAACTTTTTGTTCGACAATTGTACGACTTCGAAGAGTGATGACGCTTACATTCTCTCTTGGATTTGACTCCGTTTGAGAAAGTAACTTCCCTTGTGATTTTAATCTTCCCACGGTTTGAGCTAGTTGGCTCATTTGTTTATCCAATTCTTGTAGATGGGCTCGATTCGATTTTGGAATTTTTCTTGGTACAAGGCTAAACGTTCAACAATGGATTCCAGAGAGGACTTTTGAGGTTGAAATGTTTATGGGGGTCTTTATTGATAGGATTGCTTTTGCCTTGAGTTTTATCTATAGTTAGATTTGGATGGTCTCTCCATCCTAGATTATAAGTATTGGAGTATAGGTTATAGGGTCTCTAAGGAGGTCTTAGAAAGTTCCCTACATCATTTACTTTTGCGCCAACTTCCTCCTATAGCATTTAACAACAGTCTATTGGATGATCTAGCATTGTGCATATTCTATATACTTTTGCTGATCCAATTTTCCCTGCAACCAAAGAATTAACTATATCAGTTAATTTATTGATTTTGTTTTCTAAGGAAATAGTACTTATCTCGTGAACCCGTCGGTTGGGTTCACTTGAAGTGCCAAACTGTTGAGAGTTGGCATCCATTGTCGAAATTAATTCCCTTGTTGCAGCTGGTGTTTTGTTTATAAGAGCTCATGCACTAGCAACATCTATAGTTTTCATCTCTATTGGAAGTAGCCCTTCATAGAAATATTGGAGGAGTGTTTACTCGGATAATCTGTGCTGTGGATAGCTTGCACAAAGCTTTTTAAATCTCTCTCAGTAATCGTAAAGTGATTCTCCATCTTTTTATCTTATTCCCAGAATGCTTCTCCTTAATTCCCTTGCTTTTACTGCTAGAAAAAACCTATCAAGAAAAATATGAGTTAAATCAGCCCAAGTATTTATAGAATTGGGAGGTAAATAAAATAGCCAGTATTTGGCTAAACCAAATAAAGAAAAAGGAAAAGCTCATAGTTTTATTTGGTCTTCATATACTCCCTGAAGTTTCATGCTTGAATAGACCATATGAAACTCTGTAAGATGTTAGTGTGGACTTTCATTAGAAAGCTCATGGAATATAGGAAGAAGATAAATAAGGTCTCTTTCCATAGTAAACGGTGTTGCGCCATGAGGAAAAGTGATGCATAGAGGTTGTTGTATGGCAGGTACCGCAGCTAACTGTCGAATCGTCTGATCTCCCATTAGTTATGGTGTGTTCTCTACGCCTAGTGTATCTTCGGTTATCGGTTCTTCGTTTGTATCAAAGGAATATGGTCCTTCCAGATTTAATTCTAGATTTGAATGCTCCAGTTGTTGCTGTTGTCGTTTCCTTCTTTTTTCTCAAAGTGTTTTTACATGAATTCCTCTGGCTCAAGCTTTGATTTCTGGATTAAACTCTACTAAATCACCTGGATTACTTCTGGTGATAAATAAAAAAACAATTTTATCAGTTATTTTAGCCGAAGTCCCCGGTAACGACACCAATCTTGACAGGTGTCGTTTTAATGTCAAAATAATTTCGACTTCTTAATAATAAATAAATTAAGAAAGATAGAGAGTAGAGTAGGGAAGCGGTGTCGGTCCACAAGGACTCTCGTGTTTCTGATTAAGTGAACTTTCTGATTAAGAAAAGAATGAGATAAGGTAGAGTTTTGGATGAGATTAAATAGGGGGTTTAAAAGTTGTTTTTAAAAGAAAAAGATAAGTCTTAAATAAAAGAAAATAATTATTTAAATGATTTAAAGTGATTGAGATAAAGAGAAACTTATAGTGAAATTAGCCTCTGGCTCCAAATTTTGCCTCAAATTCCTATTGATCATTGGAATAAATTTTTACTTCAGTTATTCGTCGGTTACAATGTACAGGTCCCAACTCCTGTAACCTTTTTCTCTCTTGTGAACCGATAACCCAAAATCTATTTTTGGATATCAGTCATTTAAGGAGACTAACTACGACTATCGTCGTTAGCGCCAAACTTTTTTATAGATCTGGAAAAACCCGACTCGAACTATGTTACCTCAATGAGAATCGAGCCTGATCTCAATTTCCATTAGCGAACCGCCACTAAGTGTGTTCACAGGATGTCAAACTTGCTACGAGCCGATTCTTCCTCCCAATTATAAATCAGAACTTCTGAACCAACGTCGACTTTTTGATTAAAAAACATTCTGATTTTAAAAAAGATAGGTCGATTACCAATCTTATTCCTCCAAAAATTGAGAAAATAACTCGAAGTTATTTTTAGTGTTTTTTAATCCTCACAATAGGGATTGAGTCATCGCTTCAATCTTTGACTATGGAGAAATTAGCTAAGTATGACAATCATATTTAGCATCTTTGAAAATAAAAATAAAAATAAAAATAAAACAAAGAAGAACTTTGAAAAAGAAAAGAAAAACTTTTATAAAACCGGAGAAAAGAATAATAATGAATTCTGAATGTGTTTCTAGGCTTACATTGAGAGATTATTTATAGACTTTAAAATCCTAAAAAATAGGGAAAATATAATTCATAAAATAAAGAGATAATTCCTAATAGAAATACTTAAACTATTTAAACTAAAATATCAAAAACAAAGATAATATAAAATATAATATTTAAACTAATATCCTAAAAACATGAGTTTAACTTAAATTCGAATTGCATATACGTTCGGCTGATCCATTCGTCCTTCTAGAAGTGATGATTGGACCTTCTAGAATGGATGACTCATCACCTCGTCAGATGCGTTATGCCTAGAGTCATGCCCACTAATTCAGCCTTGATTCAAAAAAACTGCATAATTTTATCCTTTTAGTGCAATTTCTGAAATCTAGTGTCCTGAACAGAAAATGAATTAAAACGAACAAATCAACCACAAAAACCAACAATTAAAGAATAATTTAAAAACAAAATAATAATCAAATAAAGCAACTATCAACGCGTGTTTTCTATTGTTAACTAAATATTAGTATTAATTTAAAATATCATTTTTCTTACTAACGTAATAAATTTGCTATGATTTTTATTTTAAAAAAAATCAAAATAACATAAATCACGTGAACACGTCGACATTTTCTTTCATGAGCATCCAATCATGGCAGCAACAAGCAATTACTTCCTGCACTAAGTGTTTAGGATATAAGAAAATGTGACGATAATATAGAAAAATCGAAACGATAAGATTATTAATTCTCAGTCACGCAGTTACAATTTAATTTGTGCACTAATCTAATTGTCAAGATTTTAATGCACTGTTGATGTGGTGGAACCGTGGAAGACACGGACATTTTTGTCGTATTCATAAAAAAGGGTCTGAGTTGTGGATGGAAATAGAGGACATTTTTGTCGTATTCATTAAAAAAGAAAGGGTCCGAGTTAAGGATAGAAATAGAGTGAATAAAAAATAGAAACTTAGAAGAAGATAGTAGATTGAATATTGGGAATTTCCAAGGATTTTCGATTCCTATTTCCTTTACAAGCCAGTCTTATTTATATGCTAAGTCTATCAGAAACGGACAAAATCTGTTATAGTCTCAGGTGCCTTCCTTTCTCTTGTGCTCCTGCGTAATTCGTGGGGTGGTCTTACTAAATGCTGTTGAGTTGTTACTCCCATCTCCAAGTATATCCTCAACACCCCTTGGCATAGTCTTAGTCCCTTCTATAACAGGTCCCCCTCCTGAAAGAATGAGCTTGTCCTCAAGGTTGACAGCTTCAGACAATGGTAAGACATCCGTGCACAGCAATGGCAGTGGAGTGATTTGTTGCAGCGATTGACCCTTGCATAGCCTGAGTTGAGACGCATGAAAAAAAGGATGTATACGAGTCAAATCCGGCAAATCCAATTTGTATGCCACATACCCAATGAGTTTTAAAATGCGGTAGGGAGCAAAGAACCTTGGGCCAAGTTTGTCGTGTTTCCTTAGGCGTAAGGACAATTGCCGATAAGGTTGGAACCGCACATAGACCCATGCACCTTCTTCGAATTCTAACTCACGACGATGTTTGTCGGCTTGATTCTTCTTGCGGCCTTGTGCTTGAACCAAATTGTGCTTCAACACACAAAGGAGTTCATCTCTATCCTGCAAGGCTTGATCGACTTGAGTATTCGAAGCGCTACCTTCCAAATACGAGAGAATCGTAGGGGGATCTCGTCCATAAAGTGCAAGAAATGGAGTCATTCCCGCATATGCGTGATAAGCAGTGTTATACCATTACTCAGCCCAAACCAAATATGAGGAGTCCCACCTATTCGGATTGTCACCAGCCATACAACAGAGATACATTTCTAGGCAACGATTCAACGCTTCCGTTTGACCATCAGTTTGTGGGTGGTAAGCGGAGCTGAAACATAATTATGTTCCCTGAAGTTTGGCCATTTTAGTCCACATGTCACTAAGAAAAATCCGATCGTGATCGCTGACTATCATGAGTGGAATACAGTGCAGCTTCACCACCCCTGAACTAGAATTTGCGCCACATATTTACTGTCATAGTGTCGGGGAAGAGCGAAGAAATGACCGTATTTGGTGAATGTAATCCCTAAATTCGACCTAAAAGGAAATTAGATCGATTTAAAATTTATCCATCACGAAACCGTTTTTATTTTAAAGCTCTAAAGCAATCATTTAATGCTTGAAGACAGTTTTAGTTCCAACACAAATAAATATTATTAAACAAGAAGTTTTAAGAAAATCCATTATAACAAATAAATATTATAACATTTATAGCAGCCCAAAATAAATAGTATTGTACAAAGTCCCAAATACATGTGAAATAAAATAATTCCAAAATAATATAATTAAAGTTTATCAAAAGAAAGTCTATGAAAATTCATATGGACGTAAAATATTATTCTGAATGTCGATTGAGATTATCCAAATACCGATTCTCTTAGTGTCGAATATCTGAAAGAAAGAACTAAGGGAAGTAAGCTACAAGGCTTAGTGTGTCTCTAAAGTTCAATCAATCACAAGTAAAAATCAGTGGCGGATCTAGAAATTTAAGAATTGAGGTCTAAAATTTTAATTTTCTTTTCTTAAAAATAATGGATATACAAAAATTGTATTTTTTTCTTTTTTCCTTAATACATTAAACTAAATTTAACCAATTTTTCAAAATAATGGAGATGCACTTGGCCCCTATGAGGCTTAGTGCATCCGCCACTGGTAAAAACATAGTTCGAAGCATTTACAATAATATTCATACGCCAAATCAACAATGGTAATAACAGCTTAAATGTTATGCAAATGATCATACACCCACACATACTCCAATCTCACCTAGAAGAGTGGGTTCCTCAAAACCACACTAGATCCAACCCACACATCATATACGTGGGGACCGCCACAAAGGCAGAAGCCACTAAGTCTAAAGAAGTGTCATTCATCCCGTTAAGTGTGCACTGAACCTCCCCTAACAATCAATCGTCCCAATATGACATGCAATATGGTATACAAAATCGATTTTCGATCCGATCCAAATAACAAATTTCATAACAGATATCTAAAGCATATATTCCAAAGCATGTCAATTTCGAAGCATATATTTATCCTGAAGTATATAATCTGATTCATTATGTTTTCATGCATTCACATCACATAATTCCAATTCCGACTATTCATCATGCATCACATAATATTTTTGGAAGCATATATTTCGAGAAAACAACACAATTATGTATTATGTAATTTCAATCATTTTCTGATTTAACAGTTAAACATGCATCACTAGACATGATTTCCTAAGAGAAAATAACCTCAGTGACCAAAAATGCCTTATAATATACGATTTTAACCAACTCTTTTTGGATTTGCCAAAATGACCAACAAAATCGCAATGCGATCGATAATTCGCAACGCGATCTCCGGTATCGCAAATTAGTTTCCAGATTCGCAACGCGATTCTTACTATCGCATTGCGATTCCCCAAATTCGCGTTGCGATTTTCCTAATTCGCAATGCGAATATGTAAATCGCAACGCGAATTTGAAAAATCGCAATGCGATTTACATAGCGTCATTCGTATTAACGCGTATTTTTTTTCAAATTCCAAACACAAATATATTAATAATATATTGGAACACTGAACCGTCCACAGTATATCCCGTTATCGCAACTCATAACCTAAAACCCTAAATCACAACTCAGTCTCATCTCCATCTCTCACTCTCTAAGGCGAAATCCGTCCCCATCTCCGACGAAATCAGTCCCCACGACGATATCAATCTCCATCTCCGACGAAATCATTCACGGTCAGAAATGGAAAATCAACCAAATCAACCACCGAGGGTTAGTTTTTTTAATTATTTTTATTTTGAAATTTTTGCATTATTATTAGGTTTTTTATATTGAAATTGATGATAAGTTTACTGGTGTTTTCAATAATAGATTAACCATTTCACTTAGATTGCTTATTATATTCATTCGATTGCTGCCAATACTGCTAAACTATTTAGTTTTTAACCCTGTGAAGTTAGTATTTGTCTTTGTTTTATCTTTTGGTTGAAGTAATGCAATCCATTCAAAGTTTCTTTCAATTTTAGTATTTGAAACCGAGAATGACTATCGCAATGTGATTCTGTCGTTGCGATTTTCATTTCGCGTTGCGATAGTCAAATTTGCGTTGCGATAGTCATTTTCGTGTTGCGATTTTCATTTTCGTGTTGCGATTTAAAGTTTTGCTAGACTATTATTCTTCTGCAAATTGAAACTTGAATGAATTGCATTACTTCAACCAAAAAATAAAAACAAATACTAAATTCACAGTGTTGCAAATTTAAGTTTGAAGAATAAACTACTACTCTTTATGTTTATTGTTCTTGTTATATCTTCACAGTGTAGTTTTTGGTATATCTAAATTGGTATGTTTATTGTTTTTGCAGAACTTTTATTCAGCTCAATTGACCTTAAGAAATAAGGTAAGCCTGGCCAAAACAATTGCGTCGAAGCTTTCACCTGCACAAAGAAATATATTTGAGGATATTTGCTTCGGACCATGGCTGAAAGTACAACATCCGGGTGGAGATGCTATGTTGACCCATCTGTTTCTTCAAACCATGACTAGCGATCTACCAGAGACTATACAACGTCGTGATGAAGAGATATGGTTTGATTTTCCATCGACGTATACGTGTTTTGGGCGGGAGGAGTTTTGCTTAATCACCGGTCTACGCTTCGGACACGATGATGTACATCGGTACACTAGACATATTACCCGCCTATCATGGTTTTCCAGGGTTTTTCCTGAGCTGTCAACGGAGAAGCCGAATTTACACGTGGAAGACTTGACGAGATTATTGAATAAGAAAGATGGTTTTACTCAGATGGATGACGTCGATGTTGTCCGAGTATGCCTTCTAATACTTTTGCAAGCCGGTTTTTTAGGCAGAGAGGCCCGACAACCTATTCCTAATGATCTAATTAAATTGGTAGAGGACCTAAATGCATGGAACCTGTTTCCGTGGGGTTCGTATCTATGGAGAGCTACATGGAATAAGTTGTCGTCTGCCTTTGATGATCAAAAACGTTTGCGTGGCGATGGTTCTAAATACACTTTGTCATGCTTTATTTGGGCCTTTAAGGTAATAATTTTTATATAATGTTTCCAAAATTTAATTACTTTTTTAATAATTACTAATGTTTGCTATTATATTGTTTGTAGATTTGGATATTTGAGGCCTTTCCCGCCATGCAGACATATGCATTAAAAACTTCTAATGATATTCCTAGGGCTATTTCCTGGAAGAGGAAACGGTCCTTGAGGCAATGGGAAGATTTACTACCGTATACTACAATAAATAATGTAAGTTAACACAAATACTACCATATGTTTATAAACAAGTTATTACTAGTACACATTTAACTTTGTTTGAGCTTTTATATTGTTAGGAGGCCAACACTCCATTATAGAGGCTGACACCCACGGAAGCTGAGCTTGCCACTGATTGGTGGCAAGCTAGTAAGCGTTTTTTTGATAGCACGGATGATGAGCAGCCACCACTTCGAGAGCCATCACCTCACCCAGAGCCATCACCTGATCGACCCGAATATACACCTCCACAACGAGAGTCATCACCTATTCTGTCACATCATCGAGCCTCTTCTCCACCATCACCTCATGATAGGCGACCGACAAAGATACCACGACGTTTATCTCCATGTTCTCCACCTCCACGGGATGAGTTAGGGGAGTTACGTAATGAGGTCAATGCCTTGTGTGAGGAGGTCGGTACTTTACGCGATGACAATGGTGTATGGCGTGTTGAGGTGTCTACTTTACGTAGTGAGGTAGCAGCTCTACGTGAGATTGTAGCATCATTGCAGAACGAGGTTCATACTCTACGCAACGAGGTAAGTTTAATATTTTTCATATTTAACTTGATGATAAATTTACTCGTAATTTCACTTAGATTGCTTAGTAAATTCATTTGGTTGCTGCCAATACTGTTTAACTGTTTATTCTTTAACCCTGTGAAGTTAGTATTTGTTTTTGGTTGTCTTTTGGTTGAAGTAATGCAATCCATTCAAGTTTCAATTTGCAGAAGAAGAATAGTTTACTATCGCAATGCAAAAATGACTATCGCAACGCGAAAATGACTATCGCAACGAGAGAATCGCAATGCGAAAATGACTATCGCAATGCGAATTTGACTATCGCAATGCGAATTTGACTATCGCAATGCGAATTTGACTATCGCAACGAAAGAATCGCAATGCGAATCTCTCGTTGCGATAGTCAAATTCGCATTGCGATAGTCATTTTCGCATTGCGATAGTCATTTTCGCGTTGCGATTTTGTCGTTGCGATTTTCATTTCGCATTGCGATTCTCTCGTTGCGATAGTCATTTTCGCGTTGCGATAGTCATTTTCGCGTTGCGATTTGTAAATGTTGATTTGTTTAATTGATGTGTACATAATATTTGTGCTTGTTTAATTGATTGAAATGTAATAGTTGATTTGTTGATTTCAATTTGCATTATGTTGAATGCAAAACAGACTATCGCAACGCGGAAATGACTATCGCAACGAGAGAATCACAATGCGAAATGAAAAGCGCAACGAGTGAATCGCAATGTGAAAATAAAAATTGCAACGCGAAATTAGTTTCGCGTTGCGATTTTCATTTTCGCATTGCGATTCACTCGTTGCGCTTTACATTTCGCATTGCGATTTTCATTTCGCATTGCGATTTTCATTTCGCATTGCGATTCTCTCGTTGCGATAGTCATTTCCGCGTTGCGATAGTCAATTCCGCGTTGCGATAGTCTTTTCCATGTTGCGATAGTCATATCCGCGTTGCGATTTCCGCATTGCGATAGTCAAATGAATGTCTAATAAGTGATAACAACTGAACATATCATAGCAATGTTCAAACTCAAGTTACTAATACATGCCTAACTGAAAATGTTAAAAGTTCACACATAATACAACGTTTGCATTTAAAAATCACCTAAGTTAACAGTCCCAAAAGGTGAAGCCGGTTGTGATTGGGATTTTGATGAGGATCCATATTTTGGTAGAGGAAAAGATGATTGTGATGGCACTGGTGATCCACATGTCAACCTTGTATGACCACTTTCCTTGCACCGACTATATGTCGATCTCTTCTTCTCTTCACCCTTAGACGGTATACGATCATGACTTTTTGGTCGGTCAGGTAGCCTTCTGTCCATGGCTGGTGGCAAAACTGTTTGTAAGTCATCTGGTATGTCCCACTCAGAAGGATGTGGAATAGGGTAGACAATCTCGCCATAAGTCTGTCGATATACTTCTGTAGTGTAGCAATCCATAGCGTATGCGCTTGAATCATCTTGGTTTAGATGAAGAGAAACTTTTATAATATGGCCATATGGATAACCAGATGTTTGCCATTTCATACAACTACACGTCTTTGCATTTAGATCGACAAGCCCATTTAAGTTATTATACAGTACTTCAAACAAAGTGTTTGAACATGGTTCAACTCTCCATGACGTTGACTTCACAACACGTGTCGTTATCTTTTTTCTATCCATGGTGTAACACGATGTTCCAATGTACCTGTAAATTTAAATAAATAATACTTAGTAAAATATATGATAAGTTACGAATTTAAAGAAATAATACCTGCATGGTTTCTTTTCTTGTAGTACCACTGTTGAATAGAGGCTCGAAAAAACTCAATTAACATAGTAATGGGTAATTTCTGGGAATGACGACTTAGAGAATTGATTGATTCTGTACTATTAGGTGTCATGAAACCATATCTTGCTCCAAGTTGATGTACTCTTGACCATCTTTCAAACCCGACATCTTCTAGTGTTTGAGCACACTGAGGCAAAACACGTCTTAAACAGTTTATATGCTTATTAAAATCCACTTCCCGATAAGCTTTTACAGCCTTCCAGTATGTCAATTTGTGATTTTTTATACCAGCAGACCTTGATTTTAGATTTCTATACAAATGAACACCACAAAGTCCATGAAAAGCATCTGGGAAACACCTTCTAACAGCGTTGTCAATTGAGTTTGCCCTATCGGATATGATTGTCAAATTGCTAATAGGACCTATGCAATCCCTAAGATGCCCCATAAACCATGTCCATGAATCAGAGGTTTCAAATTTGCCAACCCCGTAAGCTAATAAGTTTACTGCTAATAAGTTTACTCCAAGGTATCGACCTTTTAAATGTGCTCCGTCAACTATAATAACTGGGCGCATGCAATTAATAAACGAACGAATCTACAAAATCATATACACAAGAAATATAATCATTTAAATGTGAAATGCATGTAACTAACAAAAATGAGTCAACAAAATTATATTGATTTACTAACCGCAGCACCAATGGCGATAAACAGCAACTCAAAGCGTCAATCTCTATCTGTTTTGATATGAGTTACTGACCCAGGATTTTTCAGCTTTAAATTGTAACAATAAGCCGGTAGTTGGGCAAACGATGCTTCTAGCGACCCCCTCAACAATTCCAAGACATAACATTTGGCTCTCCAAGCTTGAGAATATGAGATACTAATCTTGAACCGAGCATTCATGTCAGTCATAATTTCATGTCCCCAATATACCCTGCCATTCAAAAACATTAACTCAGCCAGAAAACCACCCAACACCTTTTTGTTTGCCGGTCTATGGTGAGGAAAAACTTGGGTTCTTGAACATGTATGTTTATCAATAAAAGTCCTAACTTGAAACATTTCGCAATCTTTTATCCTCTTTGCAATCATACGCCACGTACAGTTTTTGTCAATCATACACCTTGTTTCGAAACGATATTTGCTTGATTTGTTAACTTTTAGATGATAGCCATCTTTCACACATTTCGTATACAAAGCTATCTTCAAGTCTTCCTTTGTATCAAAACAATCATCTTTCTTGATACGAATAATTTTTGTGTAACAATCAACTGCTATCTTTACCAACTCTTCTTCCGGTATCTGAAGTAATTCTGGAATATTCTAGTTATACTCCCGTGGCATTTTCTTCAGGGACTTTTCTTTGGGGATTTCTTCTTCTTCTTTTTCTTCTTCAGTGTTATATGAATTACATAATGGATGTTCAACATGTTCATTTACAGTCGTAACTTCCTTCTCATTATCATCAACAACATCTTCCTCGGCAACGGCTGTTTCATCATCAAAATTCGGGTATTGACCAATATCAAAATCATTACACGCAGGGTCTGTTTCTTCTTCTGAAAAATCATCAAAATCTAAGTATTGACCAAGATCAAAGTCTGGTATTGACCAAGATCAAATTTCGAATACTGACTAGTACTCACAATTTTTTCTGTTGGCTCATCATCGTCTAACTGGTCAATACGAAAACCGGAATTTGGTGCTGAAAGTTGATTGGGATTTGGATTAGGGAAAGGTTGTGGGTTTTGAGATTGTGTTTGGTATTGGAAATGTGGTGAAACAAAATTTGCTTGGTGATGAAATTGTGGTAGAACCATTAAATTTTGAGCACCATAAACTGGGGTTGAAAAACTTAGTTGATTACTACCCGCTACTGACCCAACTTCACTACTTCTAGGTTCAACAACATACAATGTAACATCATCACTTGAAACACTAATGTAAGCAATGAATCGTTCAACATCTTCATTGTCGGTTAACAAATAAACTTTACCATTTCTCTGATAAGATAGCCTAAATCCACTTAGGGGCTCTAAATTCAATTTATTTGCAACATGTAACATTAGAGTTTCATAAGTTAACTTTTTTAATGACAGTTTTAGTTGAAGATTCATGGGTAAAGGCATATATTGTAAAACACCATGAACATTCTCCCATGACCTACCAAAACACAAATCTATCCAAATATGATCAACATTAGATGATTTCATTATTGTAAATTAATTTACTAAACAAACGAGCTGCGAAACTAAAACATGTTATCGGATGGGGAAGGATGTCGTTGGATATAGGAACGGATGTCGCCGGAGAGAGTGATAGATGGAGATGGAATGAGTTGCGATTTAGGGATTTAGGTTATGAGTTGCTGCTGCTGCGTAGTTATATACCCAAAATATTTGTGTTGCGAAACTAAAACCTGTTGTGAATTCAGAAATCGAGTTGCGAATTTGAAATTCAGTATTGCGATAGTCAGAATCTCGTTGCGATTTACAGATTCGCATTGCGATTTACGTAATCGCATTGCGATTTTCCAAATTCGCGTTGTGATTTACGTATTCGCATTGCGAATTAGGAAAATTGCAACGCGAATTTGGGAAATCGCAATGCGATAGTCAGAATCGCGTTGCGAATCTGGAAACTAATTTGCGATACCGGAGATCGCGTTGCGAATTATCGATCGCATTGCGATTTAGTTGGTCATTTTGGCAAATCCAAAAAAAGTTGGTTAAAATCGTATATTATAAGACATTTTTTGTCACTGAGGTTATTTTCTCATTTCCTAAACTCATTTATCACAATCAACTCAAAGATATACACGCTTTCAATCACAATTCCAATCAACCAAGCACATAACAACACACAAGTGATATAGTACCAAATAAAGAGAAACACCTCGATATAAGCTAACGTCGATAATACCCCCTACCATGGGCAGCTCGAGCAGTAGATCAATTCAAATCAGTGCGTACATCAAATAATTTGAATAAATAAATTATTCTAAAATTAACTACATAAATAAAATACTAAAGTTTTTTAACTAACACTCACAGTCGACACGAGCTATATGGGTTTGAAATTCGTGGGTAACGGTGGCGGTAACTCAGTTCCTGTTTCGAAATTTCCTGAAAAATGACGTTCGAATCAATATCTAATTAACCCAAGTATTTCATATTAAATTTAAAGACGAAAATATTGATTTTTCAATTCGAAATGGAGACCGAAAGCGAGTATTTGGTTCGAATATAATAATCTATAGGTACATCGGAGGAGATTTTTGGTGACGTGGGTGCACTGACAGCAACCTCCACAAGTCAGGAAGTCACGACTGACCTTGTCGTAACCCCAAACAGTCAGGCACCTTACGATAAAGGCAATAGCACTTAACTAGAACGATCGGGGGTGCTTTCCAAGGCCAACGGTATTGTTCGATCGTGACTTAGGCCTGTCGAACCCTTCCCCGGTAGTAACTCAACACTACCCCAACCCTACACGACCGATGCGGAGCCCCCACGAAGGGGGGAACGACCAAGTTTTGCCACACCATTGATGATGGTTTTGTACGGGGATTGAGGCGAGGTATTCGACGTCGATCGATGACCTTACCCTGACAAACGAATGGCAAGAACGGTGGTGGAAATCAATGAACGGTGGCAGAATAATGGGGGAAAGGTGGGCTTCTGCTAGGGTTTTGAAAATAAAAAAGGGTGTCGCACAATGATATAATCGGGGGAGGGTAGTGAGGTTTTAAAGAAAAAGGTTTAATTACAATAAAAGCCATCCAATTATCTAGGGTTTTGAAAATGGATCAAAGGTTTCCAAATTTACAATTTGGTCATTAACTTTGAATTAGTAATTTTGGTTAAAATTTCCTAAATTTTAGGGATTTTAATTTGAGAATTTTTTCGAGTGTTACAATTCTACCCCTTAAAGAAAATTTCTTCCTCAAAATTTACATGGAGGAAAAAGATACGGATATTGAGCCTTCATGGTCTCCTCGGTCTCCACCGTGGACTCATCATGACCACGGTTACACCATAAGATTTTGAACATCTTAACAGTCCTCCTAAGAACTTTCTCATCCCTCTCGAGAATTTCAACAAGCTCTTCTTCAAATCGCAAATTGGATCGTAACTCTACCTTACCCACATCCAACACATGAGACAGGTCAGGTCCATAACGTATTAACACAAAAACATGAAAAACATCATGAATGCGAGCAAGCTCAGGTGGTAACTCAAGTTGATAGGCCACTGGTCTAACACGATGTATAATTCGGTAAGGCCTAATAAAGAGAGGACTCAACTTGCCTTTCCGACCAAATCGAAGTATCGTCCTCCATGGAGATACTTTTAAGAAGACCTCATCACCCACTACATACTTAATATCCCGATGTTTCATATCAGCGTATGATTTATGTCTGTCAAAGGCAATCTTCAGTCTATCCCGAATCATCCTGACAGTCTGCTCTGCCTCAATAACTAAATCCAGACCCAATAGTGTATGATTAACCAACTCAATCCAACCAATAAAAGTTTGACACTTATAACCATATAGAGCCTCATATGGAGCCATCTTAATACTAGCTAGGAAGTTGTTATTGTAGGCAAACTCAACCAATGGTAAGCATTTACAGTAACAACAATGGTGTGTCTCTAAAGTGCAATCAATCACAAGTAAAAACATAGTCCGAAGCATTTAAAATAATATTCATACGCCAAATCAACAATGGTAATAACAATTTAAATGTTATGCTAATGCTCATGCACCCACCCATACTCCAATCTCAACCAGAAGAGTGGATTCCCCATAACCACATTAGATTCAACCCACACGCCATATAAGTGGGGTCTGCAACAAATGCAGAGGCCATAGAGTTTGAAAAAATGTCATTCACCCTGTCGAGTGAATGCACTGAACTTCCCCTATCAATCAATCATCCCAATATGACATCAATATGGCATACAAAACTGATTTCTGATCCAATATAAATAACAAATTTCATGAACAAATATCTAAAGCATATATTCCAAAGCATGTTAATTCTGAAGCATATATTTATTCTGAAGTATATAATTCGATTCACTATGCTTTCATGTATTCACATCACATAATTCCAATTACAACTATTTATCATGCATCACATAATATTTTTGAAGCATATATTTCAAGAAAAAAACACAATCACATATTATGTAAGTTCAGTCATTTTCTGATTTAACAGTTAAACATGCATCACCATACATGATTTCCTAAACTCATTTATCACAATCAACTCATAGATATACATGTTTTCAATCACAATTCCAATCAACCAAGCACATAATAACACACAAGTAATATAACACCAAATAAAGAGAGATACCTAGACAAAAGCTAACATCAATAATAACCTCTACCACGGTCATCTCGTACAGTAGATCAATCTAATTCAGTGCCTACATCAAATAATTTCAATAAATAAATAATTCTAAAATTAACTACGTAAATAAAATACTAAATTTTGTTAATTGACACTCACGGTCAACACGAGCTATACAGTTTGGTTCGAAATTCATGGGTAACGATAGTGGAAGTGGTAACTCGTTTCCGAGTTTACAATTTCTTGCAAAAATGACGTCTAAATAAATATCTAATTAACCCAAAATTTTCAGATTAAATTTAATGACGACAATATTAATTTTCCAAAAATATAATGTGCCTTGTATATTTTTTGTAAAATGGGTATTTATTTTTTTTTAAATGGACTCATATGTAAAAGTATTTATTTGTTTATGGACTCTATTTATTTAATATTTTGGGTCTATTATTTATAAAATGAAATGAGCTAACATAGTTGAATTTATTATATTAATATACCATATTCTAACATGCAAACTATATTGTAATTAATATGAATACATGCAAATCAAATTAATACAAAACATATAACTAATATAATATGTTCATCAATTCTATGTAATATGAAAACCTTATATCATATAATATATTTAATGTGTAATACTAATGAAAAACTATACATTTAACACAAAAATTATATATCACTATTATATTCACAAAAACTTCATACTAATACTAATACTAATATTATATCTAAAACTCAAACTATATTTATTCCACAAAAATTATATTAATATTATATTTAACTAAAAAATCAAAAAATAAATATTTAAAAACTATATACTATATATATTTTAACCATAAAGCCCATTAAAAATGCCACAACCACTCGAATAAAATAGGTGATGATAGTTGCCCCTCTTTGCTCATTGTTATGGAACGGGATGAAGTAAAGACAAAAAGCATCAATTTTACCCGACTAATCATTATCATCAAGCTCCAAGTTCTTTTCCACATAACCCTTCAAAATCTGATAATAGTCAACTTTAACCCTGAATAAACCTTTCTATAAACTCTTCTCAGTATTAAATTGTCTTAGACAGAATAGATGATATCTCCTATATGAATCGTCTATTTTTTCACAAAAATCAAAAAAAGGTCAAACGAGCTCTTCTATAAAACATGTTCTCACTCTATAACTATCTTGAATAGAATCGATGGAACCTTCTATAATAACCCTCTATTCTTTTATAAAACTAAACAAGGTCGAACATGTTGATGCACCTCCTTCTGTGATGAAATCGAGTGAAATGATAATGTCGACCCAAGTCATGTTGTGATGGTATCGAAAAAATGCTGATGTTGACCTACCTCCTTTAGTGATGGAGTAAAGTAAAATGGAGTACTGATCCAACTTCTTCTGTGATGGAAGCAAGTACAAGGATTATATCGTTCCAATTTCTTCTGTGATAGAACGAACAAAAGGTTTATGCTGATCTACCTCATGATGTGATATAATTTACGACGGGGATGCCTACCTCCCACTGTGATAATATCAAGCAAAATGACCATGTTATCCACCTCATGTTGTAATGAATCGAACAAAATGTCAATATTGACTCACCTCCTACTGTGATGGAGTCGAGCAAAAAGGTACTGATCCAACTTCTTTTGTGATGGAATCAGGCACAAAGGTAATGTTGTTCCACCTCCCCTACGATGAAAATGAACAAACAGTTGATGCTGATCTACATCCTACTATGATAGAATCAAACACAACAAAGGTACTGATATGCCTCCTACTGTGATAGAAGCAAGCAAAATGACTACATTGATCCAACCCTTTCTTCAATAGACAAGTGAAACCACAATGTTGATTCATCTCCTTCAATGATGGATGGACAAATAATTACATTAATCTAACTATTGTTGTACTGAATGATCCGAATATATATGTTGATCCACCTCATTCTATGATGGATGAACAAAAAGTCGCTAAATCCAACTCCTTTTGTGATGGATGCAAGCACCAAAAGTTTATGTTGAAACCAGATTAGCTCTCATGTATGAACTTCTCCAAATTCATACAAATTAATGGCTAGTGCAATGATTCAAAGGTATTGAGTTCCTTGTTAAATTCTAACTTTCGTTGGGGAATGTCTACTTTAAAACCCTGTTATTCCTATAAAAAAAATATGAAATGTTTGAATTAACATGCATGTTCCTATTTGCAAATGCCTAAATATAAATGCATTATGTTAGTTATATTAGGACAACTATTTATATCATCTTGGAAGACTCAACCTCATTGATTCTTCTTTACTTAATATTTATCTCTGTGAGATTTTTAAGGTTTAGTCTTTATTTCATAACTTCATCTCATATTCAGGATCAAACTCTTTTTATGTCTTTTCTTCAGGTTCCTTCCTCAATCGTTCTAAAGTGTCTTTTCTGATTTTGACTTTAGATTCACTTTTCTCAAAGTTCCCCTTTGCATTTTCACTTTGGCTTCATTTTTCTATTTTTTTCTTTTTCTTTTCATTTTCTATATTTTTCATTTTTTCTTTTTTTTTCAACAGAGATTCTCAAGCTTTCAACAAATAGTAAAATCTCATTAAAATTTGCTTTAGAGAACTGAAATGGCAACTTTTTAGATCCTACTTCAAATATCTGGCTTTCAAAACATCCTTTTTTTACCATCCCAACAATCACTCTTTATTAATAAACACGAGTGTCAAGATCATGAACATACTTCAAATCCCCTGTGCTTAAAAGATTAGCTCAAAGTAATGTCAAGAAATCTTATGTTTTTATGTGTATACCATTTTGAGTCACTCAAAAGATGCTTAAAACAAAGAAAGGCTCAAAACAAAGAAAAACCACTTTATTGATGAAAATTTAGAATTTTACAAACTCATGGTAACATGGGGAAGATAAAAATCAAGAAACATATTACAAATGTCTTATACCATTATTACCATGAAGGTTCCCTCACTAAGCAACTCTGAAGCTCTGAGGTGAGCCTATGTTTGAAAGATTTTAAATGTTGCCAAAGTGTTTGCAGACATGAAGATTCTCTCGAAATATCAAACTCTTACAAGGGTTTAATTGTTAGATGTCTAATGTCAAATGCATCTGATTCGCCCTTTCGGGTTTTCAACTACAATCCTTCATTTGATTTCAAGACGAGTTTTACGGATTTTCATCTTGAACCTTCCTTTTCTTTCTTTCTTTCTTTCTTTCTTTTTTTCTTTTTTTATTTTTAATTTTTTATTATTTTTAAATTTTTTTCTTCAAGTGTAATATTTTTTATAGAATCTAAGTTTATTGGATTTCTCAACACCTCTCCATCCATTTCTGCCAGAATCAATGCTCATACGGAAAAGGCCTTCTTGACAACATATGGCCCTTCCCAATTAGGAATTTACATCCCACGGAAGTCTTTATGAATTGGCAAGATTTTTTTAAGCACTAGATCACCCTCTCAGAACTTTCTTGGATGAACCTTTTTACCCTGAGCTCGCATCATTCACTTTTGATACATCTAACCATAACAAATAACTTTTAATCTCTTTTCCTCAATAAGGTTCAACTAATCATATTGAGAATGAGCCCACTCAGCCTCATCCAAATCTACCTTTTTCAAAATTCGAAGTAATGGAATCTCCACTTCAATAGGTAGCATTGCCTCTATCTCATAAACCAAAGAATACGATGTTGTCCCTATTGAAGTTTGCACTAAATAACGATATGCAAAAAAAAGTGAAGGGTAACTTCTCGTTCCAATCTTTGTAAGTGTTAGTAGTCTTTGAGATGATTTTCTTGATGTTCTTGTTAGCCGCCTCTACCGTTCCATTCATCGACAGACGGTAGGTTACAGAATTATGGTGTCTTATCTTGAATTGCGCATATAACTCTATCATCGTGTCATTGTTAAGATTAGTGACGTTGTTTGAAATAATCCTCTCCAGTAACCCACATCGAGAAATTATCTCCTTCTTTATGAACTTGCAAATTATTAACTTTGGGGTATTGACGTATGAAGAAGCCTCTACCCACTTAGTGAAATAATCGATAGCCCTATAATGAAGCGATGACCATTGGAAGCCTTTGGTGAAATTTCTCTAATGACATCCATGTCCACATAGAAAATGACAACAATGCAGTTATTACATTTAACGACAGTGGAGGCGTATTGTTGAAAACATTTTGATGTTTCGATATAAAAAATAAAG